TTATTTTTTTTTAATAATTCTCAGTCCCTGTACCAAGTATGAAGCATGCAGCAGTATCTGCTGCATAAAAAGCACATCTGCTCAGCAGGTGGAGAGGTGGCAGGCACAGGGATCACCTTTGGAGGGCATGGTTGGGGGTGGGGATAAACAGATGTAAGAGGCTGCAGGGGGTGTGAAGAAGCTTTTGGTACAGATGCTCTCTGAGCATCTTACTGCAATGTACCACTGTCCTGCCCTGTGCCATCCGTGGTCAGCCTCCTATGGCAAGCAGGAGGAGGCTTCCCTAGTTTAAACCATCCAGTTTAAACCTCAATCTGGTTGTCAAAGCCTGTTGGAACACTGGTCTGTCATCCCCTTGAGCTACTTACCAATTCCTGCCATCACCATGCTATTCTTTACGTGGGTCCCTTGTACAAAGGAAGAGCATGGCCAGTTTCCATTGCTCTGTCAGACTTTCTATGCTACAGATTCCGTACACTATTCCACTAAAGTAAAGCTAAGTGAAATGCTGCCTTTGTTACAACCCCAGCTGTGTATTGCCAGCTTACAGTCCTCTACATGTTTTATTGGTTTTGCCGTTAATCTCTCACGATAAACATATACCACTACTTTAGATTCTGTAGTAGTTGTTTCTCCAGTCACAACCAGAAATAGGAACCTTTGGGAAAAAATGGTAAATATGTCAGCTTACTTAACACAGGATTGAAATTTCACTTCAGCCCTCAAGGAAAGTAACTGGTATAAAACAGAAGGGTCATCTGCACTGGAAATGGTGTTGCATACGGTGTTTTTTCCACAAACTACTTATTAAGAGTTATACATTTGTAATACACACTTGTCTCTATGTTTTTCAGCATTTATAACAAGTTGAAAAATATTCTGTAACTAAAGGTCATTTCATTAAATGAAGATACTTGTTTTAGAGTCTCAAGTACTAGCTTTGAAATTGTTACAGAGCAGAATAAACACTGAACTCCCCAGACACACATATTGGTTGTGAAGGATCATACATCACCTAAATGAGCTAGCTGAAACACCTGACATTTACTCATAGCACACTGCTACAAGTGGCAAAACCATTCAGTTCTTAGTCATTTATACACTGAATTTATGCACTGACATCGCTCTCAATTTCAATGAACAAAGAATACTTTGTATTATACTTATGTAATGGTTGCATCCAAATGAAATTAAATTCTATGATCTTCATGTGCCATAACTGGCACACAGAAACCACTGGAAAAACCAGAAGGGCTCAGCACTGTAAAGGCTGTTCCCAGAGCAGAGCTGTGGACACTGAAACTGCTGAAAATGTTCCTACCAAAGCCAGCAAAAGGTTTTGCATCAGATACGTAACCTCCATGAACAAGAGCAGACCATTTACAGCTGCAAACGTTACCACTTCTAACACCTAAAATTTCATTTGTACCACTCTTTGCCGCAAACTTCCTGATGTGGTTCAGTGGGGAAGACCTCTCTGCATCACCATTCCTCACTGTAAGGCTCTCAAATACCTGGTCCCGCACATGGAGGTGGCTCAGCCAGTTCTGTTCAACAAACAAGCTCTGCAAAACCTCTGCTGCTGCATCGGCACCTCCAGCAGGAAGAATTTACCTTGAAACCCTTTCCAAGAGGTCTGAAAATCAACAGTTAAGCAGGACAGCATTAGAGACATCTTTTGCACTAGCATGTGAGCTGGTTTTTTAAGTGATTCAGCTTTCACCCTGCATCAAAGGTAAATCAATACTCTGTGGTCGCACTTCGAGTAAATCAGTCTGCTGAGAAATTCAACCTTCCCTCTGCTGTTAGTTTAGCTATAAAAAGTAAAAATTAAAATAAAAATTAAAATTTAATAAAATTAAAATTAAATAAGTTATAACATGCAGGGAAAGGCAGGTTTCCTTCACTAATTGTTCAATATTTTTACCTAAAAGCCAATTAAAATCTGGCCACTGACTCAGTGAATAGCCAGCATCTCATAAATACATATCCAAGAGGAAGAAATAGAATGTGCACTAATAATTCAACAAGAATAAAGTCCAAAGAGCTGAAAAATTTCTTCATAAATCCTACTTTCAATCTGTTACATTATTAATTTATTTTTAAGGGAGAAGTAGGTCCCAATAGCTCTTGCTGGACATGCAGTTAGAAAAAGCATAATAAAACACTGGAAGAATGGAAATTCTGGTTATTCTTTTTAAGATGTATAACTTTGTATTTGCATATCAGGTAATTTTTTAATAAGACAAATTTCTGAAAATTCTTTACGTGTTGCTAAGACTTCAGTTCGTGCCTTTTCCAGCTACCTAAAACTTCTGCTCCCTCCAACTCCTACCAGCTGCTGGGCAATTATATAAAATGTTACCGCAGATAAGGTTCAGCCAAATCAAGCAGTGAATTTTGTCACTCTCTTTTAGTTCTCTAACAGCCAAATGGATTCAAGATCAACAAAATATAAAGTATCTTTCTTAATGGATAAACTGAACGGAGAGAAGGCTTTTTAGGGTGGCAGGATCTTTTCAGTGATGAGTTGTATAACAGCAATCCATCCAACACACAGAGAACACAAAACTCTGTACTCATTTCTGATGTGATCAGAGCCATTTTTCATGATAAGGTGAGTAGCATCTTTTTTTTTCCTAAACAACTCTTTTGCCATTTGAAATAGCATGGTGCTTGTAGTGTTGAAGTATTTTTGATGGATGCTTTCCTCTGTTCATTGTCCTTCAATCCCAGTGTAAAATTCTCCACAGAAAGTATTCCTGTAACTCAAAAGTAAAGAAACAGAATCTGTGTCGTTCTGTCTTTCTGTGGTCAAGATGAGAAGCCCATTGTCTTCTTCACCTTCTTCAATGTAACTGCCATTAACCACTCTTGTAAATCAAAGAATTTCACTAAGCACAGCAGTGCTGGCATCACAAAGCTTCTGTGGGGCTATTTGTGCCCACCACTTGCATAAGCCCTACTTAGATCAAAGCATGCCTCACTACCAGCACTGGCTGTCTGAAAACCAACAGTCTTTAAAGATGCTTCATTCCTATTATGGAATTTTGGCTTTTGTAAATGTTGTTTTAAACAAGGTACAAAAACTGTACAAAATACAAGCTACTACGGGGAATGAAAGGAAAACTGTTGGATTTACTAGAAAAGGGACTGTGGATGTTAAGATGTCTACCCTCACCTCCAACTCCCTTTAAGTCTCATTATACACTGAAGTTTTTCATATCAAATAGCAATTTTCTGTTATTAATTTAGGCTCTGAAATGTGCATTATCTAGGTGCATACATGAGTAGACAAATGCAAAACAAGTACTCTAACTAGTTTCACTGAACTAACAACTTTCATCAAACGTGTTGATAAAAGTAACTGCAGTATTTAAAACTTTAAAGTGCAGTATTTGAAATAATTATGAAGCAACTTGGTTATTGACTGGAAAGAAGGCACATGTGTACTAGTAGTCAAGGAGGGAAACAAACCGTTGTCAACACCCAAACATTGTTTTAGGTATGAAAACCAAATAGATTTAGTGATGTAATTACTGATTACTGTACATCTGATGGAAGTGTGACAGAATACATCCTTATGTGCTTAAGTCTGTAGATGGATTAGGTTTGTACAGACTTTGAACTTTAAAAAGAAAAAAGCTTAAGCAATGTGTAAATAGCAGTATCAGAGACTCATACTGCTTCAAGCTTTCTGCATGCACATCCCATCTGCTTCCCACTTGGACGCTGCGGCAGGACCGAGGCACAGAGCAGGCCAAAAGGGAGCTGCCATTCTCTCCAACCACACCCTTGAAGCATCAAAAATTTGAACTCATGAACCTCAGCCTTTGCAGTCTGTATGTTATCTCTGCCCTTCAGTCCTGTTTGGATTCAGTGCTTGAGGCTAAAGGATGTTCCTACAGCACAAGCAACAAAGGTTGAGGGTACCAGAGGAAGATGCAGGAAAGCAACCATAAGTGTTTCTCACACAGGAGAAATTTTAATAGAAATGAGCAACCTGCAATCTACAATCCATTCAAAGAACTGGGAAGAGAGATACAGGACAAAGAAAGAGGCTGCTCCCCAAATTGCTCCCCCATCCCGTTAGGATCCAGGGGCACAGCTTTGGCAAACAGCATGTTGTTACAAATCGAGACAGATGGAAATGTGCTTACTTGTCAAAGCTGTTATCCCTCAAGAGCAAAGAAATTATGTTGTCTTGAACACGCTGTGGGTAACAGACAGGGAAAGGTCCAGAAATAGAACAAAACTAATAATATAAAACTAGGTTTGGAAGATGAAATGAAAGCTGTCTTCTGCACAGAAAATGATGTGTTTTTTCTTAACAGATAAAAATCTTCCTTTAGTCCCAATAGTATATGCTACAATAGACAAGCACTGTCCTACTGAAGACTTAACCTATTAGAAATAAATTACTAATTTTTGTCATGCAGTATTATCAAAAGGATAATTTCTGTGATTGAAACTGAAGGCATTTACAATTTCTGGTCTATACCAAATACTGGATAATATGGGGTATCGACCTTTTAGAGAACCTTTGAAATCTAAGTACAGCACAACCCACTTACAAAAGTTTTTTAAAAATTTTAGATATTAACAATGATCTGATTCCTTCAAAATTAATTTAATAGTGAGCTACATCTTTTACTTTTAAGCACATTTCACAATAAAGCTCAAGAAAACCAATTTCACCAGCAGTATGTTTTACTAATACTGCTCATTTCTTTCCATCAAAACAAACTGACTCTAGTACTATACCTCTGTCTACTGAATCCATGCCAGAAAATAAATTATAATTGCATCTTTTCCATTCAGGAAGAAGATGATACACAAAGAGGAAGATGTTTTGCCCTACAGGTGTCAAAATAAAAAAGCAAAACAAACCTAATGACTTTATATTTTAGAAATGTCACTTTACTTTTACCAAAATCTTTGTCTTCACCTTCCATTAGGAGAAAAAAATAAAGGAGAAAAAATACTGCAATTAACATACAAGCGTTGTGATTACTTCATTTTACATTTATTCTTGCACAAAAAGCCAAATAGCCAGACAAGTTATGGCATCAGCAGCACCCACTATTTCACAGAAACCCCATTCAACTCCAATGGGAAGAGGAAGTTTCAAAATGCTTCCATATGCATTAAAACAATTTTAAAAATCTTTTAGTTTTTGTATTTTGAGTCTTTAGAAATGGTAATTTTTTTATTAGGTTTGGTTGCCTCATCCATCAGTTCCTTCAGCTGCCCAATCTGTTCATCACGGAAGTCATTAAGTTTTTCTTCTGTGAGCTGGATTCCATAGACAGTCTTTTCTCTCAAGTTTTGTTTGTCCTCATTGATTTGTTGCTGTATCAATGCTGCATAGTTCTAAAGAGGAAGGAATATAAAGGTTACAAAACTGACAAATGCAGGGTTCATGTCAAATTTTTTTCAACAGCAGTTTACTGCAATAACATACTCTTACACAATCTCCTACAACAGTCTATTAATCAACACCAAATGACAAATTATGCTTTTCATAAGGAAGAAAAGTTATTAAAACATTTCTACATTAAAACATCTACCACCAATTTCATGTAACTAGTTTAAAATGTATACTATATATGTACAGATTAATTTAATTATGTCCTATCGTATACTACTTTTGAAAACAAAACCTAATTTAATTACAGGTCAAATATAACAACTAAAATAATGTTTCCTATCTAGCAGGATATCAATAGGATTCACTTTGTAAACTGACACATCTGGAAAAGTATTAATCTTGAAATGTATTAGAAAAAGCAATCTATAATTAGACAACTGTCCTGAAGCCTTTTTGCCTAACCACTAATAAGGTCACCTGCATCCAGCCCTGGACTGCTCCAAAGGCAGCAGGAATTCAGTAACTATAAGACTTCTGTCATTCTGCCAGCTTTTAGAAGAAATTAGTTTAAAAAATTAATAGTTAGGTGAGGATAAGAAGGAGCTAAAAGATACTTCTGTATTGCATACTCACTCCCCAAAGGAAAAAAAGAAAATGATAACCTTCATTTCTGCAGGGTTTTGAACATATGTAAGTTTGTTCAGACTTACATACAATCCTGTTGTAACAGAAAGCATTTTTACCTAGATAACAGCACTTATGTCAGTGGACAGGCAACACAGTCAGTGTGTGTTACATCAATACCAGGCTGAGGACCATTAAAAAATAGAAACTTTCTCAAGAGCAGAAATGGAAGTGGCCGATGGATCACACCAGTAATGTGGGTATAGTTGGAAAATTGCTTTCTCACCACTTCAGAGCAATCTTTGACCATTATGACTTTTCTAAATTACAACGCTCAAGGTTCTGCAAGGACAGCAGTTCTGCAAATTTAATTCAGCTGGCGGTGCTCCCACTGACACTGCCGTGTCCAAGGCCCATCAGCATGGATGCTGTGAGCTTCCCAGCTCCCTCTGCCCAGCACCAGCCCCGCTGCAGCAGCTCTCAAAGAGGTTGTAGGGAGTGAATTCGTCAAAAGCCTCATGGTGTGTGTACTTACAGAAGTCACTGAACCTACTCAGACGTTTAAAAGTTAAGCACACATTTAAACACCAGGTTGGAAGGGAGTATAAATGCCCATTTTTCTTAAAAAGAACTTAGGAAAAAGCTCCAAAATTAAGAAATTTTCAATTGGAAAAAATACAGGCTTCTATCCTACTTCAGTAAGGTATCCTTTAAAGCACCTTTAGAGTTTGAAGCACAACTCTGCATAAAGTATAAGAAACTGAATTAAAAAAAAACATTTTCTGAATACTAAGAATGAGGACTGTTACATGGCAACATTTTTTTTTTAAATAAAGGATTAAATATCAGGAGCATTCAAAAGCACAGCATTATAGCAATGAGATATAAGCATTAGTTGAATTCCCAATCTTCAACTAAGAGAAAACTCATTACTGCATACTGAATTGTTAATCCAATTACCAGCAGAGTAACTGAAGCCACTACTTCAACTGTCTAATAATTCCAGAGAAGTGGGTGAGAAGGAAGAATGATATTCAGGAGCATTTGATAACTTTCAAAATGACATCATTTACCAATATAAATAAACTACACTGTTAATGAACCATGTCAAGCCTCACTGAAGTCAGCAGGATCTCATCATTCCTGCTGCAAAGCGTAATTCATGGCTATTTAAAGAAAATAGATAGCTAAAACAAACTAGGGCAAGCAAAAGTACATATTTTTATTAATAGGGACGCTGAACAAAGGCGATTCTTTGAGGTTCTTCCCAACTTCACCTCTCCTGCTTTTACATTAAATATGCATTCAGGAACACTAATGCTGCAGTTAATCCCCACAGTAAACCTACGCTTCAGTGGTATTACTCCTTGGTAGAGTTGGTGTAATGTTCAGAAGGAACTAAATAGTTTTCTCTCTGATGATTGAACAATCAAGTAGTAACACAAAGACAAAATATTATAATGGGTTAAGTCTTCAACTTCGTGATTTACAGAATTTCTTATCAAGGCAGATGGACAAATGTGATCTGTAAAGCTATCTGCAGACCAGTAACACACCAATGGTGACAAAACAACTATTCCAGCTCATTCTGTCTTCACATTTCTGCACAGAACAATCCAGTCAGTACTGACTCTGTACTCCAAGAAAAAAAAAAAACAAACCCCACACTCATTATACCAAACAACAACATTCACAGCATATAATAAACCATACTGAAAGCAAGCAATGTGAAGCTCTTCACACCTTATCAACAGATCTGACTAAACATACAAACCCCGAGAACCCCTCCATGTGATGTCCTGTGCAGGTTCCACGGTGGGAGAAAAGTCCTTCCCACTGCTAAGGAACAACTACCCGGGAGCAGCCTGGGGCTACTGCTACAGGCATGGGCTATGGTACCCAGAAATAACTGAAGTCCATTTAAAGCGTGTTTATAATTTTACAAATTTTGTTGACAAGAAGATCATCTTTTCCAAAAACATCAAATTAATTACTGGCAAAGAGTCTGCAATTTATTTTTTTCCATCTAACATCAAAGCATCACACTTCACAGAGCACCGGTGTTAAAAGAATCCAGATCTTGAAAGTGGTGTTTCTCAACAAAGCTGCGACACCCACTCTTGCAGATGCTCTGCATCCAGACACAGAGCGATGGACTGTACCTCCCCCACTCCCTGATGCCAGGTGTTCCCTTCTCAGCACTCCAGCATGCTCCCATCTGGACTGTTACCGCTGGCTCTTTTCCCCTACTTGTTTTCTAGCTGAACAAATGTTTTGTACATGCCAGAAAACCTCAACAGTGGTAGTTTCACATCAATTTGCAATGTGAACGGAAATTTAAAATTGGACCCTGGAAACATGCTGGGTTTTGGTTGGCTCGTGACAGAAAATGGAACTTTCTCACCCCACTTTACCAAAAGTCAGTGATGCACCAAAGAAAATATGTTTCAGCCTTTACAAAAGTGCTGAAAAAAAAAAATCAACTACATGGCATATTTCATTTTCTCTTTCTGTGTTTCCAGATGAGGAACAAACAAAGCCTAGAATATTTAACTCTTTAACACTTCATGGCCACCTCAGAAATTCATACTGTTATTATGTGATCAGTGATTTGTGGAAAGCTACTACATGATTTGATGATACAGCAATTTAAGATGGGGTTCTATACAGAAAATGTGCGACTTTTCTAACTGCACATGAACTTTAATATGCTGAACTCCAAAGTTCTGAAATAGGTTTAAAAGCATAATGACAAAAAAAAAAAGTGGGGGGAAGCTAACATTTTTACTTCCAGTAATATAACTGGTCACAAAATATGATGACCACAGTCCCTCTCAGGTAATAAGCATGTTCATGTATGGTCTAGTTTTCATTAGAACTTAATAGTTATAGAACTTAACTATTTTCCAGTGTCATCTTCCCTACCAGCAGAACTGCAACAAACACTTGCTTAGCTTTTCCAAACAAGGAAAATTATTTCCCTTCCGCTTTTCACTTCATGTTACATATAACTGCATCTTCCAAATATAACACTTTTGTCAATCATGATACAAATCCTGAGCAGATTTTTCAAGGGCATCTCATTCCAATTATGGTTCACACTGTGCTCACAAAACCAGAGACAGAAGACAAAATGGAACACCAGTAAATCTGCACCCTCACAGAGCCAGGCTCCACGTACACAAGGATGGCAGAGGGACATAAGTGCTCTTCTTTGCACGGAGGGTCAAATACAGTACGTCAGTCACGGACAACTTCTGCATCTTAGGGTTTTTTAGGTTGGTTGGTTGCCTTTTTGTAAGTAGCTCTCACTGCAATGATCCTCTGCATGCACCAGGTGTAGACTTTCTGAGCACGCACATGAAAAAAAACCACAAACACCAAAGCCCCCACCATCTGAATGGTAAAAGTCTTTGCCCCTTGTATATACGACTGCCACTGGTAACACAGAAAATCGGAATCAAGTTCAAGTCTAGACAACCTCTCCTGACCATTTACCATCAAAAGATGGCTGATTTATCCAGTACTAAATCCCAGCATGTTGGCCATCCATGTCACAGACACACTCTCCATCTTAAAGGAGGTCCAAGGTAACAGTGAGAGGTGCAGACTGGCCATGTCCCTGCACTGCCATCATTATGTGTAACCACAGACATACCCCAAAATTCTCCGTATCAACAATGCAGAGAGGCAGATCCCTCACGTGGATGGTCTCCTTAGAGATGCTAGTTCTGCCACAGATCACAATGGCATCTACAGCATGCAAGCTGAGCCCAACCATTAGGCTCTCTTAAAATCCTATGATGTGATAAAATACTTAATAATAATGGCCAGTCTTCGCGAACGTAAACCTCTAAGTGATTGATACGAAAAATAATACAGTAAATATTTGTTGTAATCAATAACCACAGGGGTTTTTGTTTACATTCACTAACTGAAGTCAATATATACTTTTTCTCTGCTGTCTGATTCATAAGCATTCACGGAATGCACAAATTCATTAAACGGGCAAGGGGATGAGTGACATTTGAGGCTTTTAAATACCACACATTACAGAAAGGGCATCAGCCTTGTTGTTTTTAAAGTTTTCAAATGATTAAATAGAAAAATAAAAGCAAAAAATCACACAACCAAAAGCCCCACTCCCTGATTGCCAGGTATAGACTCTTACCTAGTCCAGTCCACACTGACAGATGTTCATCTCATATGCAAATAAAAAATGCAGATAGACATTTATGATTTAATCATAAGATGAAATGAGTTAAGAGCCCATTTTGGTCATTTTTACTGGAAAGAACAGTAATCGTAATTTCTATTTTCTTTGCATCCTGCTCAATATGCACAATTCTATATTTTCGAAAAACACTCCAAAAATCTC